CCTATTTGATCTAGAACTTGGTAGAAAGATATTCAATAAAACTTGGTTGATTGGATAAATAAAAAAGTGATTTGTAATAAGGCCAAGGCAAGTTCTTTTCCCTGAAGCAGTATACAGTTTGATTGGTAATCCATCAAAAATAATAAAGAGCAGAATGATGTAAACATGTAGGCAGAATTACACATGGGAGGACCAGAGAAGCTTCCTAGATTAAACATCATTGGAGAACATGGAAAGACAGGTCAGGCCAAGGTGCATACCATACATGCATAAAGTAGCAGAATCAAGAAAGTATGCAATTCGTACATACCCAGACTACAGAGGGAGATAGTGGAGACTGAGTCCGAAAAATATGATCTTAGACCAGAATATGTAGAGACTTGAATGTTAAAATGTCTGAACTCATCCTATAGGTCAGAGCATACAAAGTAATTGTATGCTCCTTGACACAATATGAAGGCTAACATGAGTGAGAAATCAGTGGCCTGCAGATGAATTAGTAATTGTGTAATAGAAAAGGCAACATCAATGTTGAAGGAGACAGTGGCAATACATTGCAGCTGAGGAGGTAAAAGTTGCAAAATTCACTATTTGATAGACCTGGCTGTGAGGAAAAATTAATTTTATTAATAATATCACCTTTCAGGTCTTGGGTGCTTCTGGTAAGGCGCAGGGATCATGTTGGGAGCTTTAGGTGATCATGCCCTTTGACCCCCATGATGGACATGGTGAATGTTGCCATGAGGGAAAATCTACAAGTCTTAACATAGACAAGACTGAGGAAGTGTCAGAATGAGGCTGGGAGGAGAGGGCTCAGAAATTTAATTTTGAGGCATTACTAAGATGTTCATATCCAGCCATGTACTTGGAAATCAACACTAAGACATGCTGTGCTCTAAAGCTCTCCTTCAGTGTGGGAGGGGAAGCTGTGGGAAAGGCTTTGGGACTCAGGGTCACACTGTTTTGTGACAGTGTATAGTGGGGAGGGGCGGCCATGTTTATGGTAAAGACAGAACAGGGTGCAGACATGGGCAGAAGAGGATAAATGATGGAGCTCACACACCGCGAACACAGGATTGAGAGAGTTTGAGGTAAAGGAATGGGTTCGGTCATGCCTGCAGGATGGCTGAGAGTTGGATGTACAGGCTGACCCAATGTGTCTTCTCATTGGTGTGCTAAATAGACTGGACCATCCCTAGAATAGGGGAGTGTGAGACATGAGGAAGTGCAAGCATCATCGTGAGTCAGCTTCAGGTCCTGTGTGATGGCAGACAGGAGAGGACAGAGTGGGGGTGCCCAGGAGCCAGACAGCACATCCTGGACCGAGATGCTGGGAGACAGTGTTCAGACAGGGTTTGAGCCCTGGAGACAGTAAAATGTTTACTGCTAAAACCCTACCAAGTCTCGTTTTGTTGGTTAATTTTGATAACTCAGAAGGCTTTTTGTTTGCTTGGCAGTGCCTCAAGTATGTTAAAAACAGCAATTAATTAGAAATGGCTTTAATTTTTCTTGCTAGTAGAATGATTAAAAATAGAAATATGCCTTGTGTTGCTTTCTGGGAGCTTTTCAGAGGAGGTTGGGTGGATGGAGGGGACTAGTCCCCTATGACTCTGGTACAGGGCAGAGTCAGGCACATGTTATGTCTACAGGGGAAGAGAAGCTGAGTTTGGGCTTTACAGTAATGGGGAAAATCATTCCAAGGAGGTTCCAAGGCCCAGTGTCTAGAGAGTTTTGTGGCAGTGAAAAGTGTTGATGATGGTGGTTGGCAAGTGGCTGGGCATGTCAGCTGGACACACATTCTTCTTTTGCTTAGTAGTGTGCTAGAGACATATACATCCATTTCTATGATCAAGTGCCATATATAAGAAGTCTCTCTGGTGGCTCTCTTAGAGATTGCTGTCCTTCCTGATCTGAGATCAGGCATGATGTGTGAACTCATACTTACAGCAGCTGCCACTCAGATGCCACAGGAACCATTAGAGCATTGTGGCTACTTGTCCTACCATGATGCCCTCTTCCCCTGGCTTCTGTGTCCCAGAGTTGCCATGGACACCTGACAAGTGACCACTAGAACTGACCAACAAGCACCACTGCTCTTTTGTCTGTCCTTTTTTTTGGCCCCACCCCCACCCCGGTGGGAAATTGGAACTTTGGTTCCTTTCTGTAATGGATTGTGGTCATTGTAGGGGAGATGAAAATTAAAGTCCCCCTCCCCCTCTGCCACCCATCTTTACTTCCCAAAGTCTTTCCCTGCTCCTAAGTCAGAAAGCCACTTGTAAAACTATGTGAAACTTAGGTACCTTGGCTCTATGATGTAAAAGTTGTTGCTTTGTCCTTAATAAACTCCCTCCAAGGATGTAACTGTACAATTTATTTTTGTTCCTTTTACTAGCTGTCACTGTCACATGAACACAGCATGAAACCTGGGTTTCAAATTTTACTGCAGTTTTATTCCCAGGAGTGAGCTGGGGACCACTGTACAGAAAAACTTGGGATTTTATTCTTGATACTGTTAAATTTACATTTTCCCTTTATAAGATTTGGGAAGTCCTTCATCCTGATTAAGTTAATGCATATACTTATAGTTTGTTCAACAATCAGTTGGCTAAAGGCCCATCCTGTCATGTCTTTCAATATCTGGGGCAATAATCCTAGGCATTTTCTTTTATCTTTTTCCCTTTTAGCAAATAAAACTAAGACAGAAGCAGCTAGTGTTCGGAAATAAAGCAGGCATGGAGGGGATGGGCGTTCTAGTCTTTGCAGTTGGATTCTGCTGTAGAACAGAGAGTGACAGATCTCATGAAGGCAGCTTCAGGGGATAAGGCACGGTCTATGTTTCAGAGCACAACTCTTTGAAGTTTCTAGGAGGAAGAAGGTTCTTTTTGTGTAAGTTATTAAAGAATACTAAATTTATCAATGATCCTTGGTTTCTACGGTTCTTTGTAAAGGCGGAGTTTTATTTTGTTTTGTTTGGTCCATGGTTTTGTTTTCTCACTTCTTAGTTGAAGATCTATTTTATAATTGTTACTGCTCTAAATTCTTTCTTTTAGATATAGTCATTAGCAAATATTCCTCATCATGATTAGTGTTGCCAAGAAAGTTAATTGTATTGTATATGTCAGTGGAGAATTATTTCCTCTTCTCTTCCCCATTTCTTGGTGGTTTGGAAATGAGCAATCTGTTCTAAAAATCCTTAAGTGCATTTCAGCATTTATTTCTATAGTACTTTGCCAGCATCTATAAGAACCATTAAAATCACTAACACGATAATAGGATTTTTGCAGCAATTCAAAATCCAAGTGGAGGAAAACATCTATGCTAAGAAGCATGGAGGTGGTGCACTGAGTATCTCAAAGGTGAATTTTTTTGGAGTGATGAAAATGACTACATCTTTTAAAAGTTAATTGCAATTATGAATAACTTTTTAGTTCTTTTGAATTTTTCTGTTAGAGCTCAGATCTTTTAGAGGGGGCAGTCAGAGTTACATTCAGAGATTATACATGATAATCTCAAATCCAGGTCATCTCTTGAGTATGTGCTGTCTATGTCTTCTCATTTATATGACATGCATAATTCTTAAATTTAAAGTTTTCAGTGGTTCCTTTTGAGTTTCATATGGCTAAATGGTTTCTGTTGTAGAAAAATAGTCTTCATTACATCCTAGGTGCGTGCGTGCGTGCGTGTGTGTGTGTGTGTGTACATGTATGTGTGGAAGCTAGAAAGTAATTATGGGTGTCATTTCTTAAGTGATGCCCACCTTTTTTTTTAAGACAGGATCTCTTCTGGCCTGGAACTACCCAAATAGGCTGGACTGGCTTGCCGGCGAATGCTAGGGGTTGAATTTAGGTCTTTGTGATCACAAGGCAAGAGCTCTGCCTGTCTAACTATCTCCTCAACCCCACAGCATAGACTTTCAAAGTCTTCATGGGGCATTTTTCTGGACAATTTCTTTTTGATTTCAATGACTTTGGGAGAATGAGCGTCTGTGGTTTTCTTTCTTCCTGTGATTTCTGTCCTGACAGGTGTTTGTTAGTGAGTCACTTTCTGGGCCTTCATCTCCTCATTTATAAAATGAAGGGGTTGAACACATGGTCTCTGAGGTCCTTTTCCACTTGAAGTTCCTCTGAATGAGTGGATTACTCATGGTTGTGTTCACACCATGCTTATCTGTTACCCTGCTTTGCTAAATTATGTCTAGAGTTGCTGTAGTCAGCAACACTTTCTCCATTGTCCTCTCCTTTTGAAAGCTTTTCCTTTCGAACCATAGTACACTCGGACAGCATGCCCCAGGGATTGTATCATACACTGACACTCTGCACCCCCAAATGCAATGAGGGAGGAAGCGGATTATGACCTAAACCATGGCCATGCTGAGGATGAAGATGCTTCATTCCATCATCTCACAAGTTTCAGATGTGGAAGAAGTGTGTTAAGGATAGTCTCATGCTGTTTTGTTTTGCTTAAGTAGGTGGAACAGAATCCTGGGAATACAAGGTTGATGTCAGGATTTGGAAAAGAGCAAGGTGGCAATGGAAGGGGGTTTGCTCCGTGGATGTAGGTGTTAGATTGCTGGTACTCTGGCTTAGTGTGGTTCATCAGGCACCCAGATTTCTCTTCCTTCACGTAGTCAGCAGTGAAGTGTGCCTGGGTGCATTTCCTTAGGCAGTGTTGAAACTTGGCTCATGACTATGTGTGTGTGGTAACTAATAAAGTTTCTAAGTAAAAGTGATAAATGCGGTCCATATTTAGTGGTTCATGCGTATGGTATTCTTAATGTTTTGTTCTGTATGTGATAGTAATGTGTTTCAAGAGTGAAAGAGAGTGGGAGTCTACAGACTGTATGGTCTTTTGGAGTGTTAACTTCCTTCCAGTTGTCGGTGGATTGATAACCATGTAGGTTAGTTTTCCGTGTCTCATGCATGCACTGTACAGCCCAGGTTGCAGCCCCATTGAGTGCTGTGCACATCCAACCAGTGAAGATGTGGCTTGTTTTGATTCAGGTACGGCGAGTTCCTGGGTCAAGTGGTCACCTCCATAAAACTGAAGATGGAGACTGGGAGTGGAGTGATGACGAAATGGATGAGAAGAGTGAGGAAGGAAAGGCAGCTGCCTCCCAAGAGAAGGTAAATGGCCTTGGCCACCACTGGGCAATCTGTGCACTGTGCTGGTGTAGTACGTCATGTATGCTAATGGACATATAATTGTTTTGCAGTCTCGAAGAGTAAAAGAAGAAAATCCAGAGGTGAGGAATGGCGATTATGTATGTATGTTTGGGGTATTTATCTATTCACTCCTTCATTCCCCCGTTGTGGCATCAGAGTCTGATCCATCTGGAAGACAGTTCTCAACATCTCATGGAGATGAGAGGGAAGGCATATAGATTTCATTGGTTCTAATTCTGTCTGAGTCACCTTAGCCCTACCAGATTGTGGCAAATTAACCTACTCTCTGAACCTTTGCTCTCCCCAATGGTATGGGATGATCATGGTGCTTATGTGGTAGCCAAGAAGATTGGAAGAATCACATGGAAAGCACTCAGTGGAATCCTTGGCCCTTACAGGGAGATAATTATTTTTAACTTGTAGTGTTACACTATTAGGAAATACTGAAAGCATATAGGTAAAATTTGCCTTGTATTTTAATTCATGGGAAAAAAATCAGACATTGAGTGGTCAAAACTCCAGGCTGAATGACTCTTGACCTTTAAATGTGGTGGATGACTTAGGTAAGCAAGAAACGCTCTTAATGACTTCTCTGAGAATTGGTCATCGTTTTACTAAGATCAGATTTTACTTACTTCCTCCATCTGATTAATTATCCTAATGCCTAATGATGACCATAGTATGCTAATACTCATAGAGGAAATTTGAGAATATTTAAATAGCCCTAGTGTTTCACAGACTTAGTAATTAATATGTACCTTGATAAACCTCATTACAAAGCAGGAAAACTTGGCCTACAAGTGATACCCATCTAACTTTTTTTAATTAGCAGACGTTTCCTTTTGATTAAGTGAAGTGCATCTTACATGGAGTTTGAAGGAGCAGTAGCTAGCTTTACTTTTAGCAAACCCATAGCGGAGCCACAAGCCACTCTCTCCCCTGGCCTTTCTGACCACTCTGCTCTCTTCATCTCATCATGGTGAAAGGTTCCTGCTGTGATTTTCTCAGCCCACCAAAGTTGGCTCTCCTTCAGATCCTGCCTTCTCTCCTTCAAACGTACAACATAAACATTACTCAAGGATGCTGGTCTCCACTATAGGAATAGTGGTGGAGCTCCTAAAATGGGACATAGTGGGTAACACTTTGTCTTGGGGTTTTAGAACACTCTTAGCTGGGTATAAAGCACTCTACCCTCTCTTGCCCATTTCCCACTGTGACTAGAGCAAAGCACAGAGTCCAGGGTTTTTCATTTGCATCTAAGACTATCTCTAATTGAAAGCCTGAGTTCTGCTTAGATATGGAACAAGTGAAGCTGTTTCAAGCACTGTCATTGACTCAAAAAGTGTTGCAGTTCATTCATCTTTGACTAGAAAACTAAGGCAGTATTTTATTTATATGATTGTCCCCTTTACATTCTGAATATATTGTGCATGCTTGTCAGTAACATGAATATCCAGGCACTGGAGAAAAAACATAAAACAGGTATGAATAGGCTATAATATTTATGCACTCAGAATGGGGATAAAAAAACACAGGACATAAGTAGTTGGAGCAAAAGCAACATTGGTACTTTCATGTTTAGACAGAGTGAGATGTGGCATTTTTATGGGTACTTTACTTATGAGAGGCTGCATGGCATCCTTGGCAGGCTAAGGTAGCACATGTAGATATCCCAGCGTCTTCTGGGGAAGGTCAGGAAGGTCTGAGTAGGTATTTGTCAGTGGGGTACTGAGGGAAAAGGTAGCTCTTGGGCTGCATCTGGAGGTTCTACTTTGGAAAGAATTTCCAACATGGACTTTTAGGCTTTCAGAGTTAACACTAGTTAGCGTGAAAATCATAGCCCAGCACTTTGAGAAATTGGCCCAGTTTTTAAAAAATACAATCTTCTGGGAAACTTACCCACTAGTAATTAATAATTTGGAGCAAATGGATAATCGCCCTCTCTTATTTATCATCTTGTTCTACTTGGAGACAGAAGTCCATGGAGACCAAAGTTCATTAACAACAATACTAATATTAGAACTAGAGTGAATTAATTGATCAAAAACTGAACCCATACCTCATGTCTGCTTGGAACTGTGTTAGACACCATGGGATTTATGCACAGAGAGAATGCTTGCTTTCCAGGGAGCTTTTCATCTTTGGGAAGAGTGTCGAGGAAGGCCTGGGCAAGGACTGGCTTTTTTGGGAGTGTTTCCCAGCTCATAAATCTTATCTGAAATTTCCAGTTTTATACATTATCGATCTTCTTTTGAGAAGTGGTTTGGAATTTCTTTTTGTCAGACTCTGAAGTAAGTACTTGTTGCATGATTCTGTCACTTTGGCTTCTCTTAATTTTCTATATGAAAAACGAAGCTGACTTTTATCTTTAAATCTAGCTCCCTTCGGTTTCCTTTAACTGAGGAAGATGTTCAGCAAGGCTTTCATTTAAACAGATCCTTTTAAAAGCCATGTATCAGTTAGCCAATAGGAAAAGACTTACTGCCCTGCCTCCAAAATCAGAGCAGGCAAAACCTGAACATGAAGAACATGAAGTGATTGATACTTAGAGCTCAGCCCATAGGGTTGAACTTGGTCACTTACAGTTAGGTCTGGGCAACTCTGATTTTTAAAAAGCTTCTCACAGGACAAGGAAAACCACAGAAGTCACTCTGAATCCGATGTACAGAATGGCATCCAAGGTTATGGGTCGAAGTTCCTGAAGTATCTGCCTGTCTGGAATTAATAAATAAATAAATAATAAGGCAAGGAAACATTTCACCAATCAGCTGAAAACTTGTCTTTGAGCTAAGCAGATGCTACAGGAAGGATGTTGAAGGGTCTTGTTTAGAATATCTGTGAAAGCATCTCTTTGCTGGTTCTGCAGTCTTACTCTCATCAGAACAGCTTTTCAGTGTGGATTTAGATCGAATTAATTTTACCAGGTTTAACTAGAGATTAAACATAATGTGAAGATTAAATGCATTTCTGTTGTTTGGTGGTTTTTAAAACTGCCACTTGCTCTTCAAACCGTTCCGATGGAAGGTGTTTCAGGGACGCTCCGCAGCTCTTGGCGTACTTGTTCTAGACCTCTGTGAAAAGGCAGAGGAAGGCTGATGTCTTCCTGAGTGTACGATGATGCTGAGCCCTGTCTGTCACAGGCTGTGCAGCCTCGGTGTCCAGCCGCTGCCCGTTAGTGCAGGTGACTGCCTTCAAGAGTACTTGTGACCAAAGTTAGATTTATGACCAGAAATCCACTATGCTTCCAAACATTCGCTTACTGTTTCAGAACAATTTTCCATTCGTAGAAATGCTGCAAAGATGGCAAACTCCTCATGCAGTTTTTCTCTGGGTTATTTTTCATATAATCTGGGTGTATTTATCAGAACTCAAAAATGGATTCTGCTACGTTATTATCAGCTAGCTTCAGAATTCCCTTGGATTTCACTAATTTGACCAGTAATGTCCTCTTCCTGCTCTATGGGGATGCAATCCCCAAACACACTGTATTTTGCTACAGTGTTACTGAAAACAGAAAAAGAGCAGGCAAGACTCCGCCCTATCAGAAGGTGGGAAGTAAACTGTGTCTCTTTGTTTCTTTTTTGTTTTGTTTCAGCTCTGTAGTGTTTACCTCTCTTTTACCAGGTCTGAGGTCTCCATCAGGGTCTATTTCCAGAGGGGTGTCCAACATTCATTTCTTGTTTTCCTCCTTCCTTCCTGTCAAAATGCATACCCACTCAAGTACTCTTCTTGTAGCAAAATTGTTTAGAAGGAAAGCAATCCGGAACATTTCTGGATTGCTTTTCCAACATATAGCAATATTAGAAAACTTCATAGTAACCTAGCAACATGTTCTGATACATTTTTCTATATTGTTGATGGGCGATTGCTATCAATCCTGTCGGCTTTCTTTTAGGGTTTCAGTGTAAGGAGTATGTGGCTGGGGTCTAATTTGATAGGATGAGTCTATATGGTGACAGTAGGACCTGAACTTGATTATGAGTGAATATATCTTATATAGGGGGCTATTTTCTTACACTGAGCACCCTTGCATGTTTGGAGGAGTCCCGTGTCCTGGTCCTGTGCCAATGGGAGTAACTTCTTTACGACATGCAGGGTTATACCAACATGGGAAGTTGCAAGATATGTGGCCCCTCTGTCCAGCCCACCTGACTCACTTGCTTGCCCTCCTAATGATGGTCCAGGAACAAGGGAACAGGGAAGGATGGAGCAGATTGCGGATCAGCCTGCATGAATCTTCAAAGGGGTATTTGGTAGAAGGTCTGGTCCTCTGCTGGTTAATGGCCATAGATTAGCATCAATTACTACCCTTTCTCTTGCCGCCCCCCCCCCCCAAGACAGGGTTTCTTTGTATAACAGCCTTGCTGTCCTGGAACTCACTCTGTAGACCAGACTGGCCTTGAATTCACAGAGATCTGCCTGATTCTGCTTCCCAAGTGCTAGGATTAAAGGCATGTGCCACCATTGCCCAGCAGTTAATTGTTTTTCAAAGAGTCATTTTTTACCAACATGTTGTTATAAAACTTTTCAAACATACAGCAATGTTAAAACACTTGATAGTGACATACCTAGTTCCATGTTTTGGCTCTTATTACAGTTGCTTTTCAACATATATGTCCTAGTCATCCACTTTGCCCCCCTTAACTTTTCCATGCATTTCAGAGTAAATCAGAGGCATTAATCAATGCACTGTGCCCCGTCACTTCAGTATGAGTGAAGTTATTTTTGAATTGAGTGCAGAGAACAAGAATTTCATACTCTTAGATTTTACAGCATGCTCACTGCAAAGGTTTCAGATGATTTTATACATCTGAAACATTAGATAATGTTGGTAATACATTAGAAATAAGATCCCACTCATGGTTTTCATTGCTGTTTCTCCCTGGGTGTGGTGGGTTTTGTTGGTGGTGTTGACTGTCTCTCAAGTTTATGCTCCAGGGTAGAGTTCACCAATGTAGAGCTTGAGGCAGAAATACCTTAGGACCAGAGTAGAAATCTTGAGTGAAAAGTTGTACTCTTGCATTTCTTTTAGGGAAACGGTTTTCTTGTTGTTTCTCGCTACACTTACTCTGACTTGTTTAAACGACAGTGAAAAGTTATTCAGGGTAGTGATGTACAAGGCAAGTTTCGCTGACTCTTCATATGCTTTCGTCAAGGTCCTCCTAACGTTAGATGAAATGATACTACAAGATCAAGTTGTTATTTTAGAGTATGCTGTTTCTCATAAACCCTGTGGGTCATCCCAGAATTTATTAAAGACACAGATCCTCCCCCTTCTCCATGAGATTCAGAATGGTAGGACAAGTGGGTCTCTGGAGTATAAGGGGGGCCAGCAGCATACTCTGCCAGATGTTGCTGCTTAAGATCCTCTAAAAAGTATCATTTCTGATTATCAGGATGTAATGTCTCAAGGCCTGACATCACCCTCCAGCTTCCCTTTGTCCTAACGTCAGTTTTCTTAACAGATCTCGGTAAACGCTGGTGGCATCCCCGAGCAAATACAGTCCCTCTCCGTGCACGACTCTCAGGTGGGTTCTTCTGCCAATCATTTCTATTTGAGATGCTTTGTAGACAGCTTTGTAGAGAAACTCAAGAAATTTATTTATTTATTTTTAATTTATTCTTCATACATTACATCCTGACTATAGTTTGTCCTCTCTCCACTCCTCCCAGTCCCTCCACCCCAAGCTCTCCTCCTCCCCAGATCCACTCCTCCTCCATTTCCCTTCAGAAAAGAGCAGGCCTCCCAGGGATGTCAACTGAACATGGCATAACATAACAAGTTACAGTAAGACAAGGCACAAACCCTCATTAAGGTTGGATGAGGAACAGGAGGGATCAGACAGGGGTGAGGAATGGAGAGAGTACTTGGAGAGATGACTGGAATTGGGGGGCATTTGGGAGGCAATGTGGAAACCTAGTGCAGTGGAAATTCCCCGGAATCTATGAGGGTGACCCTAGTGACGGCTCCTAGTACCGGGGAATCCAGAGCCTGACCTGGCCATCCTCTGTAACCAGACAATGTTTCCAGAGGTGACAAAGCCAACCACAAAACCTTCTACCTGCAATTGTCCTTCTTGCAAGATGTGCTGGGGAAATAGTGACGTAGAATTTCTGGGAGTGGCCAACCAATGACTGGTCCAACTTCAGGCCCAGGCCAGGAGAGTGAGCCCACATTTGACACTGCCTTGATGGCCAGGAACTAGAGGCTGGATAGCCCAGAAACCTAGGATAGACCCAAACTGGACTGGCAAAAAAAAAAAATCAAAAAAGTCAATGAAATGATTCCTAATGATACTCTGCTATACTTGTAGGTTGGTGCATAGCCTAATCGTCATTAGAGACGCTTCATCCAGAAACTGATGGGAGCAGATGCAGAGACCCACAGCCACACATGAGGCAAAACTTGAGGGTTTTAGACAAATAGACACTTCAGGATAGTGCTCCCAAATCAAGGACTTAAAAACAACAGAAACCACCCCTTTAAGTAGATATGAAGAAAAAGAACATCATTACTATCAACCATCCTTTGCAAGGTGTTCAACCCTAAAGAACAGACTTTTGAGAAGGAATAGATTACCCAAGTGGCTCTGAAATCACTGGTACTGTGGGCAAAAAGCAAAGGGAAGAACATGACTCCTAAGTCTATTAAACTCTAGCTGCCAAATACCATGGTTAATTGATTCTTTCCTTTCTTGCTTCTGATTGGATTTCTATAACCTCTCTTGGTGATTCTTTTATCATTGAATTTTATGGGCCAATTCATCTCTACAACTTTTCTTATTAAAATAATAGTCAAGTGACTGTGCAGTGCATGTCTAATGCATACTTATAACAGGGGTATGACGGGAGGGCCTGTGCTGCGAGTGTGTTGGGAGCTGAAGCTATCAAGGGAAGGATATAGACACAGAGCCCTGGGATAGGCCCAGGTGTGTTTGTTGTCTAATGATATTCTGATTATATGTCTTTGTGCTTAACCTGCTTCTCTATTTTATGGAGCAGCTGTAAGTTGAGGGGGTGTTGGTGCAGAGGGGTTTCACGACTGCAGGAAGCCTCCCGGAGGTCGGATAGCTAGTCCTTATCTTTTCTAGCTGCAGAAAGACACAGAGAGGTTAAGTGGCTTGTGCAAGGCTATGCAGCTGCTCCGAGGCAGAAGCAGGGTTCAGTTTCGATCTTCACACTCTATCATCCAAATCAGTGAAAGACCCTGAGGTGAATTAACTGTAGGGGTTAGCCTCACCATAAAAGACAAATTAGAAGGAAGTACGAGTATGCAGGCAAAGGAAGTAAACAGGAAAAGGGTACAGTATTGATTAACGTTTTATAATTTATGGCTCCCTTTTACATCTCTTATTTTCCCAGCACCCCTTTGAGACAGGTGGCTTACGTATTTTGTAAATGGAGCAACAGGCTCTGAGAATTACTTGCCTGTGGTTGTATAGCAGGTTCCCAGCAGAGCCAAGCTTGGCTTGAAATCTTTGCTTTTTCCTGCTTTTCCTTTTATTTTTCAACAAGGAGATCTGATCAAGCCCAGATATTCATAGGAATAGTCTGTCACAGAGGTATCCATGATGGATGAGCTGTATCAAGATGATAGGTGAGAAGTACAGTGAGAATGAATGTTGATTAATCTGTGTTCACCTCTGATGCTTACATTTTATGTACCGAAGTCATCCCACCCCCACCAGGTATAGTATGGAGATAGAACCCAACATCTTACGCATAGTAGGCGAGTATTCCATCACTGAGCCACATCCCTAGCTCTTGCTTCTTTTGAGACAGGTTCTTGCCTAAGCTGTACTTAAACTTGCAGTTCTCCTGTTTCCATGGCCTGAATGCTGGAATTAAAAGTGTCACAACCAGCCCTGGTAAGGTTCCTTAAAGACTCCATGCGTCCCCACGGTCCAGTAGATGGTGGCCATTTGCTCTGGACCAACAGAGTGCCACTCTAGGTGGATGGCTGTAATTTGGACTAGCTGCCGCAATACCCTCCACTCCCAAACCCATCCTATGACTGAGGCTGTCTGTGTGACGCATTGGCACCTATGGTAGTGATGTTAATTAAGTGGCTTTCTGACGCTCTAAAAAAGATGTTGTGAAACCAAAGAAGAGCTGCTGGGATAAGCGCTGGTTTTGAAGTTTCCAGAAAGGGCTACAAGGATCAAGAGATACTATGGTTTTATTCATCCTCTTCCCAAGAAAGCTTACAACACTGTCTGTTGTTTTGTTTTCAAAGGGCCAGCCCAATGCCAACGAAGACTACAGAGAAGGTCCTTGTGCAGTCAACCTTGTCTTAAGATTAAGGTAAATAACGTTGTTCCCTGTTTTGCATCATTTGTTTTTCCTGCAGTGCAGTATTCTGACCTCCTCCTTTAACTTTTCATAATATTAGGATAAGATGAAATTGTTAACTTATGTGTTCTTTCCCAAACAACAGTGTATGCCATATTCCTGGAACTAATTACACTCCTTTCATTGCTTGCAAAATGATTAATAAGAGAAACATCATTTGAGAACGGCTGTAGGTCGTATGTACCCTTCATTACATTTTTCCCTTGCCTTTTTCTTTATCATCTTTTCTTCCTTTCTTTTTTTTTTCCTTTTTAACAATGTAAGATCACAGTAAGAGATTTTTAATGAGTTTCTTTCACACTCCAGCAGTCAGTTTCTGACAGAAATAAACCATGCTTGTACTACAAGTTGCCTGTTCAGAACATTTTTCAGTGGCAGGTTTGATCAGCCACTGGGGAGAAATGACAGATGTATTGTGAAAGCACTTTCATTCTTCTAGGAAATGGATACAAATATGGCGCCTGACAGACCATTGCCTGGTGACTGAAAGCTGTTTCTATTTTAAGACTCTTGTAAACTTACAGGTCTATTTTTGCAGATGTTCTGTGTTAAGGATGTAGTATCTCAGGAGAAAGGAAAATTGGCTGAACTTAATTGCAGACAGCCCACTTTACCAGGCCAGTCAGAATGCTGTCACATTTCTGAAGGTGTTCAAAGGGGAACTGTGTGTTCTCTTGACAATTACACACATAAAGCATGTGTGGTTAATGGACATGTTCACAGTTGTGGCTAGGAAAATGGATGTATAGTCAAGGTCAAGTTTGGTTTCCAACCACAGCATTAGCGTAGTCCACCGGTGGAGATGTTGTTGTGATCACCTGTTGAGTATGGTCTGCAGTGTGTTTCCACATACCTTCTGAGGAACTCTACAGGAGTACTTGGTGACATTTAATTTAGAGCAGACTTTCTAGCCAAGGAGTGAAACTATTATAAAACAATAGCTTTGAGGAATATGTACAATTTAGCAATTGCCAAAGAATGAAGTAGACCATCCGTGTTTTTGTCTTTAAACCAGAGTAGAGATTTAAATATTCAAATTCTGTCTGTTGTATATCCAGTTTTCTGAATGGAAAACCTACATGAAATGAAAAGAAAGGAAGGGGATGTTGGGAGATATATATATATATTATATATTACTGAAGGTATGGCACTGAATAGTTTTATGTCACCTTGATGCAAGCTAAAGTCATTTAAGAGAAGGGAACCTCAAGAAAATGCCTCCATAAGATTGGGCTATAGGCATGCATGTAGGCCATTTTCTTAATTTGTGATTGGAGGGCACAGCCCATTGTGCTGCACCTGAGCTGGTGGTCCTGGGTTCTATAAGAAAGCAGGCTGATAAAGCCATGGGGAGCAAGCTAGTAAGCAGCATCCCTTCATGGCCTCTGCATCAGATTCTGCTTCCAGGATCCTGCCTTGCTTGAGTTCTGTCCTAGTGTCCTTCCATAGTGAACAGCAATTTGGAAACATAAGCTAAATAAACCCCTTCCACCCTAAGTTGCTTTGGTCATGGTGTTTCATCACAGCAACAGTATCCCTCACCAAGACAAGTGTATTAGTTTTATATTGCTGTGTAAAAAGTTACCCCAGACAGTGATGTGAAACAACACCCACTTACTGTTCCATCATTCCTGTAAGTCAGAAGTGCAGGACCAGCTTTCCTGGGTTCTCCATTGTCTTTAAGACTGAACCCAAGGCACTTTGCTGAGCTCACTTGGGCTGTTAGCTAAACTGAATTCTTTACACCTGTATGCTGAGGCTCTTAGTAATCTCTCACCCTGTGCATTAGTCTTCTTCGTACCAAGGGAGGTTATGAAGTACAGCCACGTATGTCAGGGAAGAACTGTTAGGAACATTCTAGAGCTCTGCAATCCCCAGAAGATCTCTTTAAATAAGGTCACATTAGACTGTAGACATCCTAGTTAAGAATCAAGCCTTGAGGTAGAGTGAGTGGTGTTGGCAAGGGTTCTGTTCAGGAAGCATTGATGAGCAGTTATAGAAGTACCAGGAAAATCAGTGTGGGCAGAGTCATGGGCAGGGCATGAGGTCAGAGTTAGTGTGGGAGCCCAGGTATGTAGCCTGTGTAGCTTCTGGAAAAGACTTGGTCTTTACTGTTACAGGATCAGGCAGCCTGTGAGCAGAAATGTGGTGTGATTTGAGCTAAACTTTAAAACAATCACTGCAGCTGCCTTATGGAAAATATATTTAGCATTCTTACAGTAATATGCTATGCAGACTTCATTTTCTGGCCCTATCTATTTGGTACTGTGTATGATTCTTGTATATGTATGGGTATTGTGGTAGTTTGAATGAAAATTGCCCCCATAGGTTTATAGGGAGTGACACTATTAAGAGGTGTAGCCTTGTTGGAGTAGGTGTGGCTTTGTTTGAGGAAGTGTGTCACTGGGAGAGGGCTGTGAGGTTTCAGGCGCTCAAGCCAGGCCCAGTGTCACTCTCTCTTCCTGCTTGCTGCCTGCTGATCCAGATGTAGAACTCTCATGTGTGCTGCCATGCTTCCCATCATGATGGTAATGGACTACGCCTCTGAAACATAAGCCAGCCCCACTTAAATTATTTCATTTATAAGAGTTTCTGTGGCCACGGTGTCTCTCTCCAGCAGTAGAAACACTAAGATAGCTATATGTTTATTTAATCTTGGAAAGTTTTCTTCTGTAATCTTGTTGAGTTATTCTGTGCCATGGACCTGGAAATCTTCTCATTCATCTGAACCTATAATTAGAAGATTTGGCCTTTTCCTGGTGTCCCATAGTTCTTGGATTTTTTTTTTTTTTGTGTGTGTGTGTGTGTGTTTAGTTTTCACCTTTTTAATTTTTTTCCAGTTCCTCTACTTTATCTTCAAGTCTTGATATCTATCATCTACTTAACTCATTCCGTTTGCAAGGATTTCCCCTGAGTTTTCTAATTGGGCTGTTGTGTTTTTCAAGTCTATCTTAATTTCAGCTTGAGTTTTCTTTGATTTTTTTTTTCTTTACTGCATTCGGTTCTTAAATCGTAAATTGCCTGAGCCATTTGATTCAGTCATATATTTCTGTTCTCTTGGACATCACTCAGGCATTTCTTACTATCCTCTTTAATAAGGTAGTCATGTCTTCTTTAAACTTATTAAATTCTTTGAGTTTTATGATCATTCCCTTAAATACTGTGTTATGGGGTTCATCTAGGTAGTTCTCATTAGAGAATATGTCTAGGTTCTAGGTCAGAGAGTGTAGAGATGATGCAGGGACAGATGGGAGTCAGAGGGACTTGCAAGGCAAAGGTTACTCATGAGTCACACATTGCAGGGCCGCTGACCACACAGAGACACTGCCACATGGCGAACAGAGCTGCTCATCAGGTGACTGCAGTGACTAGACTGCTCAGACCAGGGTGGTGACTCATGGAGGCAGTAACATCGTTTTGGGAGAAAGTTCGCTCTAGGCCCTGACTGAAAATGTTATTAGTGGAGTCATAATCTTTGACTGCAGTGACTAGAGGTAGACCGGACCAGGGTAGTGACTCATGGAGGCAGTAAGATCATTTTGGGAGGAAGTTCACTCTAGGCCTTAACTGAAAATATTGTTAGTGGAGTCATAATATTTATTTCCTGAGATGGACAAGAGAGTTGGAGTTTCAGTTTGGGGTAGAATCAAGAGTTTTGTTTTGGGCATGTTAGGCCTATTCAGCCTATTAGATGTCAATGTTCATATGTCAAGTAGGCATTTAGATGCTGTTAATCTCAAAGGTGCAAGGAGAAAGACCACCAAATCATCATTGCCAAATTAGTTAAAGAAAGCCTTTTTGCTTGTATACACGGGCTTCCTCCTCCTAAAGGGGAAGTTCGAGAGGGTCAGCCTTGCACATGAAGAAGATGAGGTTTTTATAGTTCAGAGGTAGGGGGGTTCCAAATGGGGGATTTGGCAGGCAAAATAGGTGGGGTTACAGGAGGAGAACATAAACATAACGAGTTAGTCATAACTGTCTCCTGAAACAAAGACATAGTTGCAGTGTGGTCTTACCAAGGTAGTCATAACAACAGGTAGTCATAGCAACCTTTTGAAACAAAGATAGGTTTGCAAGATGGTTATTCCAACTTTTTGAAACAAAGACATGATTGCCATTACCTGGAACAGGCAGTACAGAACCTTTAGGTTACAGGTGGGGGAAAGCCCAGTCCTTGAGAAACAGATTTAATCATTAACAGGATTGAGCCTAGTTTGTGTTTAATATAAGATGGCTTTTAAGCCTATGCTGGAGGCAGGCTGAGCTCAGGAACTGACTTTGGAACTTCTAATGCTTGACATTAAAACTGTTAAGTATGGCTAGCAGAATCTGGGGGACAATGGAAGGCAGAGGAGAGCAGAGGGCTGGGACAGTTGATGCCAAGGTAAGAATCTGAAGATTGGTAAGGAGAGATAGTGTGTCTTAGTTAGGGTTTCTATTGTTATGATAAGACACCATGACCAAAAGCAACTTTTGAGAGGAAAGGGTTTATTTGGCTTACATACTCAAGGGCCATAGTCCCCTGAGAGAAGTCAAGGCAGGAACATGGAAGCAGGAACTGAAACAGAAGCTGTGGAGGAGTGCTACTTACTGGTTTGCTTCTCGTGGCTTGCTCAGACTGCTTTCCTATATAGAAAAAGGTCATTTGCAAAGGGATGGCACCACCCACAGTGAGCTGGGCCCTCCCTCCTCAATCATTAATCAGAAAATACCTCTACAGACTTACCTATGGCAATCTGGTAGAGACACCACCCCCATTGTTGTTGTTTGAGACAAGGTATTACTGTGTACCACTGACTGTCCTGGAACTTAAACCAGATTGGCCTTGAGCTCACTCACAGAGATCTTCCTGCCTCTGCTTTCCGAGTGCTGGGATTAAAGGTGTGTACTATCACACCCAGCTTTGGAGGCTTTTTCTTAATTGAGGTTCTTCTCCAGTAATTCTGTCTTGA